ATTGATGCACATCAGGTAAGGGCACCTGGGGGCCCAGATGTCAGCTGCAGCCTGTTGCCCCCACCCCCCAAAATTAACTTCCCAAAGTCTGCTTTTCAAATGTACGGAAACTAAAGGCACTGCCTTGGAGGTCCCTCCTTTTCCCTCCTGGTGCTCCCTCTCTTCTGGCTTTGAACCCAGCCCCACAGATCCACCCTCGACCCCGACTGCCAGGGGCGGTTGAAGAAGGGAGAAATACAGGGGCTGCTGCCCCTCTCAAGACGGTCAGTGGGGATTCGAGGCTTTCGCTCACTCTAAACCTCCCCCCCCCATGCCGGCAGACACAGGCCAGCCTTACTTACCCCCACCAAAGCGTGCGTGCGTGCGTGGCTGATTCACACTAGCCCCTCTTCTCCCTCATCCCTTGTCTGGTTGCAAAGAGCCCTCCCTACATGCACACAAGGCCAAGCCCGGCAATTCAAAAGGTTCTCGAGACCAACACAGGAGGAGAATGTGTGTGCACGCGTTTCTCCCTCCCGCCTTCCTTCCAAACTCCTTATCTGACTAGGTTCGGTCTCACCTACTTGAAAGCATGCTGAACTAGCTACCTCCGGCGATAAGCTGTCTGCCCTGACACATCCTTCTCCCTCTGACCTAGGTGGAGATTAAAGACACAAGACGCTCCGTCATCCTGCAGGAGGCACCGCTTCCTGGGCCCCCGGTTGGTGGTTCCTGGGTGGCCCATATCAAGCAATAGTGCTGTACACCCAGGGGTCGGCAACTGGCGGCCCTCCAGACGTCTTTGGCGTGTCCTTCCCTCTTCCCCCCCCCCGACTGCCCAGCAGGATGGTGGGAGCTGGCGGTCCAGCAGCTTTGGAGGGCCATCCGTGGAGGCCGTGAGGTATTTCCCTAGAAGATCTCCCACTTCCAAGACAACTGGAACTCAGAGGCTGCCCGTTGCAAAAGCGGAGTAGGCCAGAGAGGCCATTTGGCCCCACCGCTCCCCTCCTCCTCTTTGCTTCTGCCCCCCCTTTTCGCAATGAACAGACACTCCAAGAGGCTTCCCTCCTGTGGTCGTTCTTCTCACCCAAAGGGAAGGAGACACTGATTTCCAGCAGGCCAGGCCCTCAATGTTCAAGCACACTGACTGAAAACGCTGTGTATTCAGCAGCTGCAGTCCTTTCCTAAATCGAAGGACTGAAGCTGAACCGGGTGGATGCAGACATCAAGACGGCTAATCCAGGAGGGACTGGGGGTGTGTGTGTGTCTGAAAATTAAAGATCAGAGCAGGCCAGGGAGAATGGCCGACTCCTCCCTCCCAGATTACATAAAGGGGAGAATTGGTTTTTCTCATCTTTCTGGCACTCAGCCTGTCAGGAGGACTTGGCCTTCGCGGGAGGCTAAGATGCCCCTCTGCACTCAAAAGGCAGTGGAGTTAGCTGAACAGCGCCGACGTCTGCGGAACGACATGATGCCACTATTTCTTTAAAACCACCAGCAGGTGGCAATTCTTAAAAGAGACACGGGAGTGTGCTCCTGGATTTGGCTCCCTCCAAAGGGCAGACTCGCACTCGGGTGCAAGAGCCCTGGGCGCAAGAGGCCGGACGCGCGGCCACCGCAGGAGCGCTAGAGAGACCGCCTCGGCTAAGAAGGGGCGGCCGCCCTCTGCGGTGGGGCCAGAGAGGGGCCGAGGAAGCCGGCACGGCCTCGCCCGTCCCTCCAGGAGCCAAGTGGGGAAAGAGCCCAGCCCGTCTCTGAAAGGGGTTCCCCCCCCCAGGGAAGCGGGAACGCCCTCCCCGCTGACATCACCCGGTCTGCCTGTGGCACAACGTCCGTCGGACGAGCCCGCGGAGTGCGAGGCAAACTCCTAGGCGGCTGGAGGTGCTCGCTCAGGGTGGGGCCGGCCCTGATCGCTCACCAGGAAACCACTTTTGAGGGCTGAAAACCAAGAAAGGGGGGTGCCCAAGGGAATGGGGGGCAGCAGGGGGGGGGAAGCCAGACAGCGTTCCCTTTCCCACCCCAGAGAATTAGTCACACACACCCCCGTCCGTGACGTCAACGGGCTGCACCAGCACCGTTCGTCCAGATTCGGCTCCCTCTGGGGAGAAAGGCTGGAGGCATGCCGAGGCGGAGCACGGCGCTTCAAGGTTCCCCCGCTAACAGGCCCACGCAGGCCCAGGGCCCCCCCCGACCCCCCCGGCGGGTGTCCAGGCAAGCTTCTGCGGTTTTCAGTTGAGCTTCAAGGTTCAGGACACAGACGTCGCCTTCAGCCTGTGTGGCCCCTTCCAAACCCTACCCTGGGGCCCAGCCAGGACAGTGAAAGCCACTCGGAGGTGTGATCTCTAGTGGAAGTTACTCAGCAACCGAAGCATTTGTTGCCACCTGTCCCTGGTGGCCAGGTAGCGCAGACGGAGAGACAGACCCGGGAATTGGAGGCGATTCCCTCTTCCGAGGGTCACCCGGGAGCTTCCCAAGAACAGGAGCAACATTTAAACTCAGAGAAGAGGGAAACCTTGGCCCTCAGCGGGCTCATATGTCATAAATGCTTTGGAAAATGCCACATTTGGGCGTGTGTTGAACAAACATTAGGCATTAATTTCTAATGACTGCTGGCCACTTTGGAGAAAGTGAGATGTTTTTAAGCAAAATAAAAATTCTCCTCCCTCCGGCCACGGCCAAGCCTCTGGGGAGCCTTGCTTTCAGAGAGTCACGCATGTCCCAAATGGGCACCGAACAAGCAGTCAACAACATGGGCATCCACACGGGCGACGCACGGCCAGACCGGGGGTGGGGGTGGGATACTCACCTGTTGGCTGGTGAATTGTGGCCCCTGCTCCCCAGGGAAGAGGTGGACAAGGTGGTGGCAGCCGAGTCACTGTTGGCTTCCTCGGCGGGGGGAGTCCGGGGCAGGAGGTCAGGGCGGCCCAGCTGGGAACCTGGGAGGAAGAGGAGGAAGAGGAGGGAGTAAGCGGTCCTCCGGCACACGCAGTCCGCGGCTGTCGGCCGAGCCCAAGCTCCTCCCAGAGGCCACTTCCTCAACCGCCCATACCAGAAGCCCCGAGAAAGAGGCGCCAGGGGCGCCCCTTGCCCTCCCCTCCCCCCTCTGCAGTGCAGCGACAGACGGGCAGAGCTGAAGGGAAAGCTGTCGTGTCGTCCCCGGCCCGGGCTCCTCCTTTTCCAAGCTTCAGCCCAGCCCCTGCCGGGGGTGGTGGTGGTGGTGGGGCTCTCTCAGATGAGCACGGCGTCCTTCGACATGACAAACAACTCTGTGCTGGGGAAACCCCTGGATTTGCCTGATGCAAGAGGCACAGCTGGATTCGCCCCTCAGGGCCCAGCCCAGCCCTCAGATAAGCAGCAGGTGGGCCGAGCCCTTCACCCACGGCCAATTCCTGCACGTGTTCCCAAGCACGCACCTGTCCCTCCGCCCTCCCGGCGTCTTCGACCGGGCCCCCTCCCCGTCCCACAGGCGGAGGACACCACCTCCCGACGGAGTGACCCCTCATATGAGACCAGACGCCCAAACTCGGACATTTCAGGAAATTTCAGCCCATTTCCTTTGGGCTGCTTCTGGGTTCGCCCGGAGGGGCTGGTGGGCAGGGGTCCCTCGGATAGGCTGAGCCACCCCTCCCCAAAGGGTAGCTGCCGCCGCTCCCCCTTTCTTTATCCTGGGGAGGGGCCCCCACCCAGGCCCCTTGCCAGCCAGCCAGGCACCCACCCGGCTCCACGTCTGCCTCCATGGTGACCTGCACTTTGGTTTCGCACAGCCCTTGCGCCTGGGATGGGGCTCCGCCTTGGCACGACCGTCGAGGAGGTCCTGCCCCAGACCGGCTCTTTTTTGAAGGAGAAGATTTTACTTGAAAGAAAAGCACACAAGCCAAAAATTACAACGCGGGCCAGCCTTTTCTCGTCCAGGAAGCTAAATGCTCAAAGATTCACAGGTACAGATGCCGCAGGTCTTTTGTCAGGTTATCAAAACAAGAACCTCCTCGAGACCATCCAAAAAGGGGAACGGAACAGCCCCCACCAACGGCAACGAGAGGTGCCGGAAACCTTCGATTTTCTTTTCTGAAGTTTAGCTCTGCAGTGGGTGGCTTCTGGCTCTCTGACTACAAACCCCATCATCCCTCTCCATCAGCCCCGCCAGGAAGAGCTGATGGGATTTGAACACCAACACTATCCAGGAAGACCTCAAACGGCCACCCCAGTTGACTCCCAACGTCAGCAATGGGATCAGGAGATTCAGGACAGCAGCCTGGCTCATGGGCGGCCCTCCCTGCCCCCCCCCCGAGGGAGGGAGGAAGAAAGGATGGATGGATGGAAGGGAGGCAGCCCTGCCACCACCACCCCAAGTTCACCTGAGCAAGAATCCTTCTGGGCCACTTTGGCCAGCATCCTCTTTTTTTTGGGGGGGGACAGCACATTTAGAAGTGAGGGACTGGGGGGGTTTGGGGGGAAAAGGACAGGTTTTTGCCCTAATGC